TCTAAATCATCCTACTGCCAATTCTGAACTAACAGTCACTTCTGAACTTATCCTGATTTGTCACTCCCTGAGGAATGACTATAATATCCACATTATACTGTATGATCTCTCATATTCTGTCTCTAGCTCTCTTATTATATTCTTTCCTCAATCTTCTGCAATCCACAAGTGATATGTACACCCTGAATATCCACCTATATAGAGGGAGGGGGACATGTAGATATTATGTTTCACATCTGACACTTGCCCTAGGAACTACAAGCTGATTGTGACACCATTGATTGCTTATTGGTCAGTTACTATCTGTCCATCCACAAAATTTCATGACAGTTACATTTTAAAATGCAAAATTGAGATCAATAGTGTGAAACTTTCAAGGAATAATGTAAATAAGCCTAAAGTTAACACTCTAAATTGTATAGAAATACCAAAAAATAAGACACTTCATTCAAATTTTAGCGAGAAATGATGTGAAATAAGAATGAAGAGAAGTAGACTTTGAGAAGGGAAGGTTGTAAAAGTTCACTGATAATGAATTATGATGATGATCCTTAGGCTGTCTCTGTACTAATTACCACTTTGTCAAATCTGCAGTTTCATTTGACAGACCCTACCCCTCTTTCAAGTTTTTTTGTATTTTTCAGTTTAAAAGTGCACTTTGTGATTCTCAATATCCTAGATGTACCCTTTTCAATCACTTGATCAATATGCTTCTTTAACAGAGAGCTATGTATAAATTGCTAGTCTTTGTTCCTCAGGGTATCTTCTGTATATAGTACACTAAGTATCCTTTAACCTATGTAATAAAATCCATATCCAATTCATATATCAAGAGATATTCCAAATGTCTTCTAGATTTTCAGAAATGACTTCAAAATCTTAAGAATGTTGTTTTCCTCAACACTGCAGCATTCAGTCTTAATACCCACTGTTAGCTTATTAAGACCCCCCTTAGTATGTATATCCCTATTTAAAGACTATTTTATTTAATCCAATTGACTCACATTGAATATTCTAAGGCAGTATGCTAATTCGTTCTTTACATTATAGCATGTTATGACATGTGGGGAAATATATATATTACGACAGCCACGGTTTACATTGACACTTGACCAAAAAATCACATTAATGGAACATAAACTTTACTGATAAAGTAATATATTTGTGGTATATCCAATATTTATCCAATTATGAAACATGAATGAAATATTGATCGCGGATAATTTGAACCATTCTACTTATTCTAATGCAATTTTCTTGGAACTAAAGCAGTTTAATATAAAATACCATATACAGAAAATTCTGAATGTTATTTGAACATTTTTCAGGTTAACAGCTCTCAATGTAATAATAATGATATAATTTTATATACATTTGTTTTGCACATGAGCTCAATCAAACCCTTAGGTATTAACTATAGAGGGTGTTATCCAAATTAAACATATATTACTGATAAGTGTTTCATCTCATACTTGATGAATAACAAAATATTTTCTAATTACCTCATTTAAACCTGAGTTGTCAACTTGAAACAGTAGGATGAAATAAATATGTCTTCCTTGCCAACCAGGTAGAGATGAGTCTTATTTGTAGGGATGAACCACATATTTTTACAATGATTTATTTTTCAAAAAAAGGTATTTTGTCAAAACTGTTCTCTGTTGGATTTTCAGTTTATATTACTGAAGTACTTCTGTCATTTAATTAATAGTACTACTTAGTAATGCCTAGTTTAAAGTAGCTTTATCTTAACATCTAATATTGCTCATCAGATCTCAAAAAGTGAAAACAATTAAGAAAATAAAATGTTCATCCCTTTAAAACAGAATTTTTTGTACACATGTATATTTACAATCACTGCAGATCCACATTGGGTCTCCACATGTCTCCATGGGTATCACAAGTACCTTCGTACATACCCAGACTGCCTATATGGTTAATAGTATGTGGTAAGACACCCGGCTATACAGGTGAGACACAACTGATTGCATGTGCAAAAACAAATGATTAAAAAAATATACACTTTCTCATAAAACACTACCAAGTGCTAATACAGCATGTTATATGCCATTCATCTTTTACTGTTTCTAATTGTTATGTTGTTTTGAAAGAGAAGTGCACTCTTAATTTCATTTGTGTCCCTTATATAAATGCTTAATATTTTAGTATTAATGATTTACCTAACAGGGGTTCAGGGCATTCAATTTCTCATTTACTTGTTATTTCATATTTCTGGGAGATATAAAATCAAATCAGAGAAGGCCAATGAGGAAGGTGAGCTGATACAATCAACTTATGTGGCCATCTAAATAACTTTGTGGTAAGATATTCACCTCTTTACTGTTTGCAGCCCTTCTTGTGATACTTTATGCCACCATCCCCCTCCTACTCACAGATATGAAAATTACACAACCCACTCGCTTAAAGTTTGATTTTCACTTTAATACCTTTATGATTCATCAGAATACATGTACTAGTTTTTTCAAGTAATATTGACCCAATCTCTCTCATTCTCTCTTTTCCATGAAATATCACTAAAATTTTTGAATGTTACCTTCCATTATTGATCAACTTCAATGTAATATGGTTTTAATAGCGACTGATTCTACTTCTTAACACCCTTATACCCATCTAAAGGAAATCTTAAATAATCCCATCTTCACATGCTCGGTCTTCACTGCGTTCATCTGCGACCGATGGGAGCCAAGTGAACGAAGCTGAATAATCCTGTTCAGGAAAGAATACTGTGCAAAAACTCTGATAGGACCCCCTAGAAGAACCCTAAACACTTAAGGCCCCCTACCAATAGAGATGTTTCTTCTAAACCACATACCTAAATTTACATTAAAGAAACTGCTTGAAATTCCTGATAATTTTTCTTCACATTACTGAACATGTGATAATGATGTCATAACATCCTCCCTTGAAGAACATTTTCATTTGATTTTATCTCAAAGCTCATATGATTCAAGGATAAGAGAAAGAACCATATTACATACACATATTCACATCTAGTAATTCATAGATATGTTTTTTAAATAAGTTGAGATATTATATAAAAACTGATATGTCATCTGCTGAGAGAATGGTGCATTATGGGTAGTGAGGGATATTTTGGTTAAGACATTGCACCTGCAGCAATGTTGTACATCTGCTGAAATATGCTCAGAATACGTCATCTCATGGTGTATATTTTAGTTTGACATACCCAAAGGCATTAAATTGTTGTTTACATCATGGCCATCTAGTACAAATAGTATTCTAAAAGGTGTGCAAAACTATATTATTACTTATCATCCAAAATCAGGGTGAACCATATAAATGAATATAAAAAACATATTAACTAGTTATGTTGAGTAAGACAACATCCTCTGTGACATCTGTTGAGGTGACCAATTTCTTTCATATACCTTTGTAAAATTAATTCCCAACTTGAACAAATCTATTTTTTAACAAGGCACTAACATGACAAAATGGCACCACCTAGTTGCTCACAACAATATTATAAGTTCAATCTAAGATTTGAACTTCTGAAAACTTGAAGATGATTTTGAAAACATTGAAGTCAGCATAAACAGTATTTGTTAAGTTATTGGATGTTGTAAGAATTTGTTACAGACGCTGATCGCCAACCACCAACCGCCACCAAAAAAAAAATGAGACCATAACAATATGTCACAACTTTTTGGTGGAGACATAATTACAAGACAAATGAAAAAAATGTATTCTTTGAATCAAACTTTCCCACATACCTGCACCTGATTGAGTCACCAGATGGAGAACTTGTTGTTCCAGTTCAAATAGCAAGTCATCTGGATCAATGATCACAGATTCCATAATAGAAGATTACACTAACATAAATGTATATATGGAACCTATAGATCTGATAGCAATGTTATTCTATAAATCGAAATCCAACTAGGCTTTAATCCAATGTTAATCCACCAAGGGTTCTAATCCATGGAGGGTTAATCTTCTTGTGTTAATCCTAATCCTTGAGTCTGTTAATGCAGCTTGACATTCACAAAAGTTCACAAAAATATTGAATAAATCATCTTTAGCTTGTTTCACCTAACCTTGTCAAATCAGCAAGTCGTGTATTCCTACAGCAAAGTTTTTGCTCAATAAGCAACCACTTCTCCTATCTACCAGTATTTACTGAAATATTACCTGGAATGATCTAAAAAGTATCTAAGGTTAAACAAATCAATGTTTTTTGAAGCAGGAATAAAGATTTGTTGAATCACTGGGGTGTGTTAGCTGGTAAGACTGTTTGTTATCAGAGGAAGCCATGAACAATCAACAATGAACAGAATGTGTAATCCAAAACCATGAATTACATGTTTGGTGGTCGTATTTTAAAACACAAAATAGAGAACCAAAGAGCGGAAACAACAAGGAATAAAGTAAAAAGCCATGAAGTCAAGACTCTAAATTGTATGAAAATCACAAACATTAAGACAGTTCATTCAAATTTAAGAGAGAATGGAATGGTAATAGATTACAAGAAGGTGATTCTGTGCAGACATTGTCTACCTAGAAACCCCAGATTTCTTAGATTTAATTACATAACAATATCCCGGTAGTAGATATTTGGACCTTTACTTTCAGGATCTTTTTGAATAAACCAAGACTTATGTCTCATAGAATTGTGTCTCCTGTGTTATCCTATCAGGTATGGTTTTTACCACATGTATATGGTATAGTGTTTGAATATATCTGTTATCAACTAATTACAGACATAATTACTTACAAACATCAATGACCATACTCATAATGTATAACTGATTATTGACAAAGAACTGAAAGAATAGGATACAATTATGCATAAATTGATACTATTATGCAAAAATTATGGAATGATATATTGGGGAGCAAATAATTGAAAATGTATAAGGGCGTGTCACACCTTATTTAAAGAGAATCAAGGTGTTCTTAACCAGGTCAGGATCACAGCTTTGGATCCAATTACCATACCTTGTCACACCACACCTTGTCATACCATACCTTGTCACACCACACCTTATCATACCATACCTTGTCACACCACACCTTTTCATACCATACCTTGTCACACCACACCTTTTCATACCATACCTTGTCACACCACACCTTTTCATACCATACCTTGTCACACCACACCTTTTCATACCATACCTTGTCACACCACACCTTGTCACACCACACACTGCGTCACCCTATACATTATCACACCACACCTTGTCACATCAGACTGCCATCAGCTCACTGTGCCCCATCGCAAGATTGATATCAACCAATCACCAATCAAGAAAAAACATAATATGGTGCGACTCTACTACTTTTAATGAAGTAGCACCGCAGGACCAGTAAATGTATACTATATTAGTTTATTTCCCACATGTAACCACTTAATATTATTAAGATCTTGGAATGCTCTCATTTTCTATGTACCAAATGACTCAAGGTATCAATATCTAAGTACTCAAGTTGTTGGCAATTCATTCAACTTTGTAAGCTGACCCATTTTTTATCTTGCATCACTAAAGTACAGTACAGTACTCTGTAATCTTGGGTGTAAGGAGAGTGAGTATGTTTTTGATATCTAGCCATGTGTAGGGTGACGTCAGAAGTGTCTTAACTTGGGGCTTAAATCAAATCAGATTCTCTTAACTCTTTTCGAAAGGTTTTGTAAGAAAATAGGCTAATATCAGTGGCATAATGCTAAGTGACATCACTAATACTGGTGACATGATCATTAATGCTGACATCACTAATGCCAACGACATAATTAGCAGATTATGAGATCTGAAACAGCAACTTATAGATATTTTGAATAATTAAACTGCATTGTGGCAATTTTGGATTCCAATTTGGAAATAAAGTGATGTTTTCTTAGACCTTTTCTTGATCTCTTGTTCCTAATGTTTTGGTGGCACGTTTACTTAATCTCATTATTTTATGAACCCTTCCCCACATGTAAGTAAGCGTTTGTGCGAGAACAATATACGGTATTTTATCAAAGCTGGAATGGAATACAGCACACATTAACAGTGCAGCACATGAACAAATCCATGCATCACCTTTTTGGCCTAAATAAACAAATATCTCAAAAAATAATATTCATATATCCATACCTTTCATTGTGTGTATTCTGCTCAAATTGTCACTTTCTCAGCTCCCAAAGAATTCTGATTAAATATTTTATTGATTTTTGTTATAAAATTGCATTTTGCAAAGTTTAGTTTCCAATACCAAGTGCCCTTTGCAATACTGTAGTTCTATTTTACTTCTGAGTGTCAAGTAATGTGCAAGACACTGGCATTGAGGATATATACCAGGGGAGAGCAAGTTTCCATAGATGTAGCATCTACTTGTGTTCAACAGGCGTGTTATCTGAACATTCCACTGCTATGTAATCCACAACAGCTTGCTAGTATACAAAGTATTTTTGTCCCCTGTTATTAAGTCCAATCCAGTCAGGAAAATAAGTCCTCTAAAATGCGATGATTTGCCATGTTAAAGTTCTTCATTGAGGAATTTACATTTAAATTTTTCATGGACTATTTATTATCTATATTAAGAGGACTTTTTAATCCTGTCTTGTAACAAAGTCCTCTTTATATGTATAAACCAAACCCTTTAAGATCTTCTGAAGCTATAACTGATTCAATTACTTATCAGAGGACATTAGACTTGTATAAGATCATTCTTCATGTGATTTTCAACACAGATTTACTATTTAGTCTGCATATTCAAGCTTGAAATGTTAAATTTTGACAGGTATATAAATTGATGTGGAGTAATGAATGCCCCTACAGGCAAATAGCTTACTACTGGAAAATTACATTATGTTTACAGGGTGCTACAAAATGTTTACTTTAATACAAATGCAAGTGCTTGACACAAAAATACAAAGGTGGAAAATATAATATGTCCTAACAAGAGGTACTTAAAACCAATCCCAAATAAAGTCTCAACAGAGATTTCAATTCAATATTTGAAATCTTATTTCATTTCATATACAATTTTTAGCCACTCCTAAAAATAGAATTTCTTTAAACTTTTCGTGACAGAAATAGAACACCCAAATACAAAAATAAAGTTATATTGCCCTTTATTTAGAAGAACACACACTTAAGATTTTTATAAAAAGTGTTTGTAATCATTGTTTCTGCAAGATATCTCACAGAGACCACAATCCTTTTAAATGGCAATATTCTGGTAGTTATTTGAGACACCCTGTAATCATAAGTGCCAATAAGGAAACATGATTCACTCCTACTACATTTCATCATCCACTACAGGGTGAACACATTTAACATTGAATCATATGCTGCATAGCTGTTCTTTAAAAAAATATATAAGAGGTTAAGCAAGTCCATAAAAATAGTAATGTGCTCAAAGTCATCCTGTGTGAACTTGTGCATTTTGGAGAGAAAATCCTACATATAACTAAATATTGGTACTGGGTATGTCTGTGATCTGGATCGCTATATCACAGAACAACTTATCTGCTAACTGGGACTAACCCATTCTGTTTACCATAGCCAGCCCCCTGTTATCTATTGCGTGTGGGCATCAGCAATTACTTTTCTCAAGCCTGGCCCTAATTGAGGACTGAGTAGAAATAAGAACAGAATAGTTAACCAATTACAAAAAAATATCAAAAAGTGTTCACCACAGAAAAGTCATTCACTTATAAGAATATCTGGTTTGCAGTGATAAACAGATAAACAACAACAAGTCAACAATGACAATATATAAATGCTTAAAGGATCAGAATTCATGTCTAAACCTGGTAACTCTAGTCATGCCATTTCACTCCTTTCTCTCTAAAATTTGAATGAACTGTCTGATTTTCTTATATTTCTATACAATTCAGAGTATTAACTACATGTCTGTTTACTTTATTCCTTGGTGATTTCATTCTTTTTCACTCTATTTTGTATTTTAAAACATGACTACCATGACATTTTCTCAGAATGACATCACCAACTGTGTTTACCTACTATCCATGACACTTATCATCTCTTAAGAGAATAATTACAACTGAAAGCCCTTTTTAAATTACTGAAAACCTTTAAATATCATTTCATCATTTCAACAATAAATAAAAATACTATGTCTGAAGGCAACAAAATCAAATTAAATTTACATTTGTTAAAACATAATTACTGAATCAGAATGGGTGAAAGCTGTAATGGACAACCATGTTTACATATTCCCCTCTCCCACCAAGTTAAAGGATTGTTGATGGACATCATACCAACATGTAACTACATACAGCTAAATAACTCCAGCCGGTACATCAGAAAGACAAATATCAACTCAGTTAAAAAATGTAGGTGGTTTTCATAGCCTAACCTCAAACCATGAATTCCTACTTCATAACTTCATCAATATCTACAGAAAATTAAAATGAAATACTGGTACTTGTATGCTAGAGTTTTAATTTGTTGATTCTGAATTTAAGGGCTGACACTGACCTCCAAGAAAATGTTGATCTAATAAAAAGTGAGTAATTTTACAGAAAAGGGTGTTGAGCTCTAAAATGTCCCTAACTCTGCTCATAATGTATCATTGAGTAAATATGAACATCTGCTATTAAAGGCTCATCTTCAACATACATGTGTAACTTAGAGGGTCAATATATGTACATGTAATATCCATCTTAAAGGATCATAATAAATCTGTTTTAATGGATCATCTTTGGCCACACCCATTATGTTCTCAGAGTCTTACATTTAATCCATAAACTTTGTTTCCTCTGAAACACAATACGCAATCGTGATCTTGAAATTCCCAAGACAATTCAAAAATACCATAAACATTTCATTCCAGCATGATAGGAAATAGTAAGGAACTTTTATTGCATCACGATCTGACAAAAATAACTTCCAAGTAAATGTGTTTCAGTTTATCCTTTGCTTTATTTGTTTGTTAGGTTGCCATGGTATTAGTTGCAAAGAACAAGATGATATTCTTGATCTTGTGTTGCCTAAGTTACCTGTTTGTTACCTGATAATTACGTAGAATGTTAATTGATCCAGAGCTCCAGACACAAATGTATTTCAGCTTCACATTGTTGATGTACACTCCATAGGGAAAGTACAGGGAGAATTCCGTTTTTAAAAATTACTTTTCCAGTACTGTGGATGTTATAATAAAATAACAAAATACAAAGAGTTTTAGGATATACAAAATATGCAAAAAACTTATGTCATGGATTTTGTTTTATACACTTTTAACATGTTAATTGCTTCAATTTCTAGTTAGTGGTTGAGACATGATGGGAAATGGCAAATAGGTGTGTAAAGAAAAGATCAGAGAAATATTTCACCTTAGGGATGAAGTGAGCCACTGTATCCACTGTATCTATAGTCTATAATGCTTGAGAATGTGGTTATCTATAATGTTTCATTATTATGAACTTGCCTTAACAATATCTAAATTACTAGCATTCCACACATATACTCATGTAAGGTCTAACTTTATAAACAGCATGAGGTTACAAATTGCAATTAGACTCGTTATTTGGCACCGAATAACAATTAACAAAATTGTTGTTTATCATATCCACTGTATCCATTCAATAGTAATACATACACTGTAGAAATGTCTATTTTACACAAGGAATTCTTGGCACAAATTGAATAATTCTATCTTATCATAAATTAATGAAGCATTTTTGCATGCTATGTGAACAAACCTGTCCACTTGCTGGCAATTAATGAAGATAATTAGAAATCCTGACTGTGCATATGATTTCATTAACTCTGGCCAGAGACTGGCCAATGCTAAGTTTCCCCTAAGTTGTGCATTCTTTGCATCTTTTCTCTATAAACTGTTTGGGATTGCCTGGTTTTCTGCATCATGATAAACTACGACATCTCATTTCTTCTCAGCCCTGAGATGTTTCAGTTGAAACAGAAAGATGCTACGAGTATCAGAATGGGTTTTCTGGCATTTCTTGATAATTTGGAATATCAGCTATATATATAATTACTCTTGTAATTTTAACTTATTTTGCATTTAGGAAATTGCTTTCATGAATCTTACCACACAAATCTCACGCTGTTCAATTAACACATGTCACAATAATTAGCATATATTAATGACACTAATTACAGCTAGCTAACTTCTAGTTTCCTCTATCAGTGCATGTCAAAGCTCCACCTTTTTTAGTTTGTGAGTTTCATCTAGTACTCGACTCTGTCAATGGGGCTATGTCAATGCCTAAATTCAGCATATTGATCAATCTAGCATGAATTTTTGATAAAATATATAGTTATTGAAAAAGGCAAAAACATCCTATATTTTTTCTAAACATATTTATGTCTATCATTCATCTTATCATA